ACCCTGACAAGCCTGGTGGACGACAAAACCAAGCTACCCTAGTACGGATGGCAAACCATACGAGGGAGCTCCTTCGGCCGAAGGAACCTAGGTCCTTGGACTTTGAGGTTTGTGATCTGGTTGTGTAAAATCCAGTGTAGTAATTATTTAAGTATATTTTAATATATTTCAAATAAACACTATTGTGTAATACATTTGTAATGGTTCTGTTTTCTACTTTCAGTTAGATAAAAACTTCCTGCCGGATGATTTCTTTCGGTGTGACGTAGGAAACAAAGGCGAGAGGCATCTAGTGTTTGCCACTGACCGGCAATTACAGCACTTAAGTACGAGTAGGCAGTGGTTCATGGACGGTACCTTTAAGATTATTAAAAAGCCGTTCCATCAACTACTTACTGTTCATGCTTTTGTGCGTGCCGGGAGGGACTTTAAGCTTGTGCCTCTCGTCTTTGTGATTATGCCCAGGCGAAGGACATCGGACTATGTGAAGGTAGTCAAGCGGCTACTAGAGGCTCTCCCCAAACAACCGCAAGTCAAGACTGTCATCCTTGACTTCGAGCAGGCTGCCTGGAAGGCCCTGAAGAAGACTTTGCCTGACGTCCGTGTCCGTGGATGCCTGTTCCACCTGACTCAAGCAGTTTGGCGAAAATGTCAAGAGCTGGGCCTACAGGTACGTTCAATACTTTGAATCAATCAATCATTGCGAGTTATTTTGATATTATATAATTAATTCATTTATTTAATTTATTATATTATGTCATATAAATTCATATGTGTATGTACTATTTCAGGTAGCTTACATGGAGGACGATGACATTCACAAGTTCATGAGAAAGTTGATGTCTCTGCTATTTCTTCCGGCCGCTGATGTCACCAGGTTATTCCACAAGATTTCGGATCGGGTTCCAACTCATGGCAAGCTGCGACAGCTGATGGACTATTTTGAGAGTCAGTGGATCTCCCATTCTATATTCACCCCCCGCACCTGGTCAGTCTTCAACATCGCAGTCAGGACGAACAACTGTGTTGAAGGTATTCATTTCTTAATAAAATAAAGATTAATAACTTAAATAAATTATTACTGAATATTATACTATTTTTGCATTGTCAGGTTTCAATTTTCATAATGTTACGTAAAAATATGTATTCTTCTTTTCAGGCTGGCACAGGCGAATTAATAACAAGGCGGGAGAACAGTCACTGGGGCTCTACAGGCTCATGCCAGAGCTCCATCATGAGGCCAGCCTCCTATCCAGACAAGGCTTATACAAGAAGGAAGGCTGAAGGCGTACATCCGCAGATCATCAACAGCTAGGCAGGATGAGGTGTTTGAACTTTGGAGTTTGTTCAAGGATGGTGACCTGTCTCTGTCACAACTACTGTCAAGATGTGCGATTATCCACGGACCAATCGTTTAGTGAATTGCTGCAATTCATGAAAAGACATTCTTGGGATATATAAGCATCCGGCCAAATATGGACTTTGACGTGTGAACATGTGTTATGTGTTATGTTGACGGTGCTTTCGTTATCGTCTTTATAATCTTGTTATTTTAATGCAATGGGTGAGTGAGTGATTATGGTTTTACGCCGCTTTTAGCAATATTCCAGCTATATCACGTGTTATAATCTTGCTAATGTTATGACATGAAATAAAACATAAAAGTCAACATCATACTGTGTTTTATATATGTTGATATAAGCTTGCTAATGTTATAATGAAACGAACTAAAACATAAAAGTCAACATCTTACTGTGTTTTATATATTGTGCCCTTTTAGCTCAGAAATCAGTAGCCGTTTACGCCAATACGGTGCCGTTTTCGCCAAACGATTTTGGTGCCGTTCTGCTGTGGTGCCGTTTTAGCTATAACCCCGTGCTAAATGGGTTATGTTTGTGAGTGCGAAGCGAGCGTTGTGGAAGCCTCGAACGATATCTTACTTGTGTTCAGATCGCTTCCGTACCATGTATCTTGTTCGAGGCATGGAAGAATTATGGCTTGCAAGTCCAATTCCATCTGTATCTTGTGTAACCTGCCTGTACACTAACAACTGATTCAATGCGCCTCTTTATTCCTTGGATGAATCTCTGGATTTGGTTCTGATGAATCATGTTCCTTTCTTCATGCAAAGCAGCAGTCAGTTGATTGAGAGTCTGGACAGGCGAGTCTGTCTGTCGAACACGACGACCTAAAATGTTCAACAGATGCTCAATGGGATTGACATCTGGGCTCATAGCTGACCATCGGATGGTCTCAGCGGTGACTTGTGGGAACCAAGTCAGCGAGCCCGACCACCCGATCCCGTTAGTCGCCTCTTCCGAAAAGCATGGGTTACTGAAGGTTCATTCTATCCCGGATCTTCACGGGTCGACACGTGTTCGACCATCCACTAAGAAACGACTCAAATGAACCCTCCCCCATGATGTCATTTTCCAGTAAACACGCTGATTACAACACGCACATTGTGCTGCTTTGTGAGCTGGTGACAGTTTTATACGCTTGATGGGTCTTCTGACACTGTATGCCGCTGCCTGATTTCTGACGGTCCTGCAGGAAATGGCTCTCTCTGATAACCACTGTTGCCTTAACGATGTGCTTGAGTCCCATGAACGGTGCCAAACAAGTCTCCAAACTGCTCTATCCTCTATTATTGTTGCCTAACGGGATCTTCCGGACCTTGGAAGATATTTAACGTCATTGGTCCCCCTGTGTTTGTTTATGGGTCTTGAAATGATGGGAGGATTGCGCCCAACTTGATGTCCAATTTGTCTGATGGACATTCCGGCATTTCTCAGGCCAATAATTTACCACTTTGTAGCCTCTGGCAATTTACTGCGTGACATGACAATATTGAGTCCAAATTGAAAGGAGAGAGTGTGACATATTATCAGTTAAACATGATTTCAACAATGTTGTGGTATGACATATCACGTTTTGCGCGTCATTGCACGTGCATTGAATATCTCCAAACAAAACATGCAACACAGCAAGATGCAAAGTGTTAAGAAATCATTAAGAAAAATGTTTTGTTTTATAGGTCTATGAATTAGGTGAACGAATGTTGTCTTATGACGCTGTTGGCAGTATTAAAGCAGTAAATCAAGCAAAGCTCACTGAAAATGGGTTTCTCATATTGTATCCATGAGAAGCATCTAAATCTGTCGGAACTCACAAGCACGCCCTACTTGGCTAGGCAACCAGCCCCGTACTTCAAACAGATGATGATTCTGCAGTAACTGGCACACCTAAGGAATAACAGAATCTCTGAAACTAAATAAATCTATATCTAAATCTGCCAGACATATCTTTTATCTGTGGAATTTACAGTAAACTTAAATTAGCGTTCGTTACCGGAGATGACGATCCCTTCTTCAACCAAAGTGAAGTATTTTCTCAGGTGTACACACACAAAAGTTAAGGACAACATACTTTACTACAATGTTCTCTAAGATAACCCAAATGGAATATGGTAAAGATATCACGTTCTTAACGACATGCCAACTTGTCAAGGGGAAAGGAAAGGACCGTATCGAAAACAAGGCTTGCAGACAGGTTGTAACGTATGAGGCTTATCACCATCAGTATGAATACGTTGTACGAGACATTTGGTTTACACTTATGCGACTTTCAGAAATGAGCTCTGGATACATCAGAAATGGAACTGTAAAGTGAGCTTAATAATAACCTTACTGACATTTTAAACTCTTCCCAAAATGAAATAAATAAATTTAAAAAGATAGAGAGATTGTTACCGATGATGATAATAAAAATGGACGGGAGAATTGTGGTATGATCGAAATAATGTAAATGGCAATAAGTTTATACCTAAAAGTCAACATAAGATGCAAACTGTGCCTGAATGGTATGTTTTAAAAGTAAAATATGAGGACCACCGTCGACCTTTAGCCTTGTTTAGATGTGGATTTGTACCCCTTGTCATAGACACTGGACGTTTTAACAAGCCCCCAACCCATCTTCTGGACAGAATTTGTCCACAATGCCTTAAACAAGTTTATTACAGAAGTATTGAAAAAGAATTACAATTTCTAATGTCATGTCATTTTCTGAAGTTTCCACACATGCACATTTTCAACATTGTATGTTATTAAATCCACTTATACAAATCTGACTGATTTAAAGAAACATAATTGATTTGAAAGTTGTAAAATGTACCAGTCTTATGAACATGCACGCTTTAAAACTGTATACACAAACACAATTATTTAAGTCTTGAGCATTATTTGAACTAAGTACATTACCATGTATATTTCTGTTTCATACAGGATACGAATAATATCTTTCTTACCTATCTATCTATCTATCTATCTATCTATGGACGTTACGTTTAACTAAAATATATACAGCTATGTGTAACAGGTGTGACTACTGATGAGGAAATAACTATTGCGATAGCGACAGTCTATTGCGACCAACTATTGCAATACTATTGCAATAGTTTGTTTTCTCCTTGAATTGTCTCATTTGAAGTCATTTCCCAAATGAATGTTAGTTTATATGAACTAAAAACAACTTGAAGCAGTTTCAGTCTCTTTTAATGACTGACAAGAATTTTGAAACCCAGATCAAGTAAACAGTTAAAACATAAACTCAATGAAGCTGCACGTCAAACAATTAAAAGAAATACAAAACAGCATATATATTTAATGATAAAAATAACCATCAATGACTAAGCTATCGATAGTCACACATAGTATCGATGCAACGATAGTTGTTCGTTTCCACCATTGATTAATTGCTCAACAATTGCAATCCATCGATAGTTCGATGCAATGTTACAGCCCCACATATATACAAACGAACTGGGCATCCTGATGGTGTTTTACTAATCTATTGAACCAGTCTCTACACACAGACTTTATAATAAAACAATACTGAAACACAAAAGTTACGATGCCATTGCCTGCCATTTGTTTCAATCAGCCGTTATGTAGTCTACATTTGTTTGGAAGTTTAACTGGTATGAGGAATCGAAATCTTACCAAGCAAAAGAGATCCTCGTCTTCACCATGTATGGCTCCGATGCAGGGAAATTGTGGCACATAAACTTCTTCCTTGAACAGTCTTCCAAGGTTTAATGTCAGTGGGAAACGTGTGTTCTGTCCTACATGGTTCACCTCCGTGTATGTCATTGTACACACCAACACCACTGTTGTGAATGCCACTACACGCATGTACACGAATCGCTTAGACATGGTTGAATTACAGGAACCGAGAGAGCTGTAAACCATTGAAATGTCATTAAACCGGACGCCGTAAGTTTATAAAGAAATAAAAATGAACGTTTAACCAGATGTTTCATTACTTCTTTGATGAGCAAACATCACGACATTAGAATCTATGTCGAAACGTCGCCTTTCACAGAATAAAGAAGTTGTATATCCATAAAATTATCATCATTCTTCAGATGTTTCACAGTCCACACATCTCCGGGAAAGGCGACGCCAAGGTAAACGTTGCTGATATGTACTACAGTATATGGATAATGACTAAGAACGTCAGAGTAAAGAATTCTCAGAAACAGATTCCATGTCGTAAAAGGCAAAATGGCTGTGGAAAGTATTATGAATGGAAAAGTGAAAATCAGTGATGACACCAGGTGTTCGGGTTAGGTAACTTGTTATATCAAATGAGAAGCCGCATAAGACGTAAGTTCTTCTGTTTGCATGCCAGTCTTTAAATGTAATCCCCTATGAAACTCGCCTTAGCTTCTGTTGCCAGTCGTTAAGAGGACCAAAGGATGTTCATGACCGTAGGCGATTGCGTCTTGTGGTTGTACCTCGCTGTGGTACAGCTGGGATATTGATAGACCATCTGCACACACCCAATCACCACATCACTCAGCAGGTTATTGATCACGTAGCCTGTGAATCCTTTCAATCAACACGTTAGAAATAAAAGCGACAAATGCGCCAACAGCTGCAATATATAAATTCAAATAAACCACGCACAATGATAATAATGAGAGAACAACACAAACGGTCGATTCTGAAACGAAGTGTGGCATTGATATATCTCAAGACCTCGTCAATGTTTACTCAATCCATATATTGACCGGCACTTACAGAGGTGACGCTGTATCAGAGGCTGTGCAATGACAATGTTATTCACATGAAATAAAAGCCAATATAATGTGGGATGCTGGCTGCTTCATACAAATATTTCCAATAGTCTTCAAATTTTGAAACACATCATGTCCACAAAATTAAACTATCCAGGACATATCGGTTGCTCTCATTCAAAGTATATCCGTCATATTCTCACAAACATCATTTCACTAGTGACGTTTCCCAATACAGTCTGACCTTTTACTTTACTTTAAACAACGCGATAGTGGTCTTTGTACCGTTCTCGGCAGGAAGAGGTCATATCAAGTCGAGTAGATGGCGGTATTCCAGTTTCCTTTACATAAGTAGATATACAAGCATCACCTTGTCAGCACTAAGCGGTGGTGCTTGTTGTGTTAACGCTGGTGCGTTGAACCCAACACTAGGTAGGCTGAGGGTAAAACGTCTTCTTTTCTATCTTTAGGCCCGGTCTAAATATCTAATAGTATGGTTTTCTTATACGGATGAATCATAAATATACTGAGGGAATTAAAGGATCACACGAAAGGACAAGTGTTCCTTTATTTTTTTTCCAATGTTTCTTCACAAGCTTTGTATCTTATAGCTTATGAAGAAATCTGGGAAAAAATAAGGGAACAATTGTGCTTTCATTTGATCCCTTATCTCCCCCCCCCCCCCTCAGTATATAAACAACAGAGTTTAAGAGAAGTGGCAGATTTGTTTTTAGTTAGTGAGTGAGTTAATATTTAACTTCACATAGGCAATATCTCAGCCATATCGTGACGAAAACAATTTCTACAATGAAGATGGAAACAGCCTGAAGATGAAGACAGTATGAAGATGAAAACAGTCTGAAGAGTAAAATCTGTCGACGATGGACAGTAAAAATACTAGAGTATCACAGATATGAATAAAAACTAGCATGTAAAACTAAAACATTTTAATTAAGAAAGCAATACAATAGAAAACACGGGCTATAGATCGCCAACAACTGAAGGTATATCATTATACTAGCGACCAGGGGACTTACATTACTTTTGCTACCTGCATGGACACTAGCTGGATTTACATCATCCCTTCGGCGGCTGGCGATTGTAGTCCAAGTTACCCATTATTAAAAATCACAAATATTCTACGCTTAAGATCCTGGTAAGTTTTATATTTGCTTTGAAAGTTTCGGGACTTATGTACCGGCAGGTTTGTTTTGTTAGACTGGCATTTTAGAAGTTGGTTAGTAATAAGAAAGTATGATACTTTATGGATAACAACTTCTTTATTATATATGATGCGAAGTTTCGGTATAGATTCTTATACCGTTGTCAAGCAGAGTTGCACAGATCATTCAGAATTAGTATCTTGCATGTAATTATAATTAGTGAGCTCATTTCAGATCTAGCGTCGCGTGGGCATAATTGACCTTTATAGACACGATACGACAATAATGCGAATTTCGACATACACATGGCTACGAGTATACCTGTCTTTGAATTAATTATAGATGTTCATTCAGACAATGAATGAATGAATGAGTTGTTTACTATAATGTCACGCATAAAATTTAATTTACTCGTATTTTAATACAGATTAAAACAATGTGTTATATTTAAGGCAGTACCTTATTTCGTCGATGCGACACTTACGGAAGTTTATTCCGATGAATTATTTGGGTTGTATTAAACGTGTTTATGTGATCCTTAGAAGTCTTTGAGATATTTACGACTAAAGAACATTTTACAACTCGGTTGTCCTAAAACGACATTCATTTGTTGTAAAAAATCATTTATATATCTTGAGTATTACTGACAAATACCAACCTACTGCATTTGGTAATTCAGCTATACGGATCATAAAATGGACATTGTAAATGAAAATGTGACAAACTGTGCATGCTCTTATCATTTGTTTCTACAGTGGCATGTGTCCATTTCTGTATCTAGTTTCAAAGAGAAACACCTTAAATGATCTCAAACAGCACGTCTGTAGCGTGGCAGAATTAGATGAGAAATTCAACTTCAAATGAGCCTTAATGAGTATGCAAATTGCAAGGTAATTACTCTTGTATCAGAAAGCCTAATTGTCCGATAACAACATTGTATTACACCTACGGATCACGATGTTGGTTGGTTGGTTTTTCAACGCCACACTCAGCAACATACAAATCAGATAGAGTGCTTACCTTGTGCGTCTTTGCTATCTGTTCAGGTCATGGAACACTGTGAAGTATTTATCTCAGCAGACTATTGCAGAGTACAATACGATCAATAGTAACGAGACAAGCAATGCTTTGTTTGCATGTTGGTATACATGACAACAGGTGTTGCCCTTGCATTATCTAATTTACATTTACGAGCAGCCTTTATACATAAAACTGTGAGAGAAACCGAACGATTTCCTATGAACACCGAACCAAGACCGATGCTGAAAAGACCGATCTGCGAACAACAGCACACATTGACATGAGTAATGAAGAAATGCATTGATCACGGAACGGACAACTATATGCTTCTCAATCATTGCATTATAAGCGTGAGATACTTTACAATTTGTATTCGATTTGTTTGTTTGTCTGTTGTTACTTTTGACAAGTATTGTTATTGTTGCCCGTTTCTTCCTAGAGTTCACATACATTGGGAGAATATGTGTGATAAAACTACATTTGTCATTTCTGTGTGTCTACTAAATTTCCATTTAAACTCTGCATTCTCGCCTTCAGATGTCTCTTTGAAAGTGCCCTTCAATATCCGTCCGACCTCCTTTCTCCATGCAAACCAACAAGATCCCTCCCTTCCGCGAAACATAATCCTGTATCATTCCTAAAGTCAGAACAGTTAAATTTGGTCAAAGAACTTTCCCTTATGCTGCTGCCTCAGAGTGGAATCATGTCTTATGCATGGAAATATGCGCTTTTAAATGAACTATTATTAGTTGTAATATTAGTATTATTATATAGCTGAGTATTGCTGAGTGCGGCGTAAAACTAAACTCACTCACTCACGCCCTTTCCTTGATAATACTCTAAATATTCCTGAGTTGTTGGGTCTGAAGTACACATTTCGCTGTTGGGAGTACTCGACAAAGGGTCAAACGGTTGTGGGATCGAATCACAAATTGAGTAATTGTTTTGGTTTAACGTTGCACTCAGCAATATTCCAGCTATATGGCGGCGGGATACAATGACATGTGTCAATCAAGGAGCGTGCCTGACCACACGATCCCGTTAGTCGCCTCTTACCACAAGCATGGGTTACTGAAAACCAATTTACGGGGCTTCAAGGGTCAAATTTAATTGAAAATTAACGTAAACAATACACTGATATTTCATGTACACACAGTAATACTGAAGCTTCCATATATAAAACTGAGTATTAAACATATCAATGCCCATGGAATGCCCATTTCACTATTGTACAAAAAATGCATGTTAAAAAGATACAATAAGACGCAATGTTTTTGGTTTACATCAATCCGTTGAAAATGTATAAGGCACTTGACACGTTCATTCAATATATATTGATTACGCGAGCATCCTCGGATCGATATGAGTCAGATGGCCCATCATATATTTCATCTGTTACTTAGTCACATCACGCTACCACTGAGTAAGTGAGTTTATATTTAACGTCACATCGGCAATTTTTCAGCCATATGATGACGAGAACAAATTGACATTTATAAACAATATGTATATATTATAACACCTGTCGTTAAAGCTCAGTAAAACAACTAGACTACCACAGTTAGATAGATCGCCAACAACTGAAGGTAGATCACCATACTAGGGCCCATGTGGACCTACAGTACTTTTGCTACCTGTATTGACCCTAGCTGGATTTACACCATCCCTTCAGCCGCTGACGACTGTACTGAGTTTTAGCCATTATTAAAAACAACACTTATACTAAAGTTCAAAAGTTTGGTAGAGCTAAATTGACTTTGAAGTTTTGAGACTTTACGTACCCTCTGAGGAGGGCAATAATTTTACAATACTTCAACCCCTTCGAGGGTACAGCCACTGACTATCTCACTTACTAATTTACACTACCAATAATAAAATATATATCAATCAATATGTATCAATCAATGCTATTTCTTTTAAAAATTCGATAATAAAATGATGATTAACATTATTAAAAAAAAGATCCTTGACA